CCAGCGAGAAGCGTTTTAGCGTTCTCGTTAGATTGAGTAAATAACAAAATGGTCGATCAGGATGGTCGATCGTAACTCACCCCGAAACAATTTCTCCTACGCCCGGCATTTTCTCCGCGCTCGTATGATGCACTTATGTCCACATGAATATAGATGCGTACGTAAAATATAGACACTAACATGCCGTAGTTCCCGAGCACAATTCATTACTTGATATTTTTGAGATAATAGAAAGATTTAAAACGGTATTTCACTAAAAATTTAAATAAATTTCTATTCATCCCAAACTTGATAATGATAAACGAATAAACTTGTTGTATAATAAAATTGTTATATAATAGATGAATATAATTTTTTATATTCTATAAAAGCTACATATATTTATTTATTTTATGAAATCAAATTCTTTATAAAAAAAATATATATAAAAATTTTAATAACGTTCCTAAAAAAATGTTACATTCTGCATGGAAATTTTCTTTATACAGGAAAATTTCAAAATTTGAAGATAAAAATAACTTCAAGAAGTGAAAAATAGATTTTCAATGGTGAACTAGAAAGAGAATTGATAAGTTTTGAGAATATTGATTTCACTTCTTGGTTTTTGGTTCGATTCGTTTATCTGTCGCTGTAGATTTGTCGAATTAAAATAAGATTCACGTATGCGGACTGCGCGAACGAATTTTTTGGATTCTCGCGATAGACGTTTCTCGAAACGTGACGTAAGATTATAATCGGATTCAGCGACGATTAATCAAAGTACGAGTCTGATTCAGCACAAAGGCGCGGCTTGGCTTTTCTATTCTCTTTCGTTCTCTCTTCGTCCTCCGCGTGGATCGAAGTTGATTGCAAAATTATGCTCTTCGGAGCTTCGTCCCTTCTGTGTAATTAGGCCGTATTTGCCTGTCGAACAATTTACTCGTATTAATTATTAATTATTAATGAGACTGTGAAACATCCGATGATTCATTTCGAACTCTCTTGAGTCCGATTAAATGTTGCATTCAAAAATCATTCAATTTAAGAGATATTAAACAATAATATCGTAATAACAAGCTTTTCGATTTTACTCTCTTTGAATAAAACTTCAAAAAGCTGACATAATTACAGTAACATAAAATGATATAAACATATTCAGTTATATTAATGTATTTATATTAATATAACTGAATATGTGATATTTTTTTTATTATAAAAGTGATTAAAAAAATATGATATTTAATAATTACCATAAATGAGTTAAATAAATATTAGCCTATCAATCAAAAGTAACCAATTTAACTTGATTAAAAATTATCAAGAAAAGATGATTTTAAAAAATACAATTTAAAAAGAACAATTTTTTAAGAATTACAAAACGATATTAACGAAAATGACATTCGGTTTATGTTAAGAAATACAATATGTTCTTTTCGCCAATGATATTTGACCAATAATTAATAATTTTCTGTCAAGTTGAAAAATAGCTTTTCCCCTTTTCTGAAAAACTTAATTTTTGAATTGTGTCACTTTTGAATGGAGCGATATCTCTTTCTAAATCTGAATTAAACTGAAAATTCAAGCGGGACGTGCTTCTCCATACGTGTGAATTAAACTAAGATAAACGATCGAGATCGAAAAGCTTGTCGTAATTATTTCCATGGAATTTGCAATCGAGGGCGAGGTAGGATACGCGATGAGAAATCTACGCAGAGAGAGAAAAAGAGAGAATGGATCGAGTCGAAGAGTTACCTTCCTCTCGTTGAACCAGAAAGAGCTTTCGGTGTCGTTATTTCTCGAGTCGAATCACCTGTTATATCTCCAATTGGAACAGGTGTGACGTGCAAGACGTTTCCCGCAGCGTGTCTAGTATAAAATCATCGACGTCAACGTGAACGAGTTGCGTATATAGTCTATTTTTATTCATGTGCGGACGTATGTGACGTGACTGTGTGCGTGTGCGATCCTAAGATCGAGGAAGGGACGATCCGTAAAATCGAACCATCCATGATGGTTTTCTTCCATGATGGCAGATATATACAGATATATTTCCAGGGAATGGAAAGTTACTTTTTATTAAAAGTAACAAGTTACAGTTATTAGTTATAGTTATCAATTTTTAAAAGTAACTCGTTACAGTTACCGTTACTTGAGAAAGTAACTTTTCGTTACGTTTCCGTTACTTCTTTAAAATAGACAACTACCAATCACAGCAGAGGGACTTTCTAGTCTCAAGCGCTATGAGTGGCTAGTGTCCAATTGTGTGCAAAGTAACGAAAAATTCATAAAAGTAACTGTAAAATTCGTTACCGTTACCAAAAAAATGTAACTTCGTTACAGTTACCAAAGAAAAACAGTAACGCAGTTACCAGTAAAGTTACCAAAAAAGCATCTTGTAACTGTAACTTCGTTACAAGTAACGAGTTACTTTCATTCCCTGTATATTTCTCGGGAGGTCCTTTCGGTAGGTCTTTCTTTCTGTTTTTTTTTCCATCACTCTGTCCGGCCCTGCGTAGCCTTGCTTTCAACAACGAGAAACAACAATTAACGATTTCTTTAGGCGATGGACAGATTTGTGCGTATCATGTGATCTCCCACACCTCCTCGTCTCTTCATTCCTCTTCGTCTTCATCTCCTGCCACACGATCGAGAACTTTCCCTCTCTTGTCGCGCTTTTTATTTTACATGATCGAAGACACTTTCCTTTTATTCCGCGCTTTATTTTACGTGATCGAGGACGTTCTCTTTCCTTGTCCTACGTTTTATTTTACGTCGAAGACGTAACGGTGGTTGCATGTGTACGTGTGTATCCATGCCGTTGAATACTGTCTGCTGGTCTGCTGTTGTCTGCTGGTCTCCTACTTTTTTTCCCCTCTTTTCGGGAAGGAGTTACACCGAGTCTCTCGTTACACAAACGGAACGACCCTCGAAAAATCGACTTTCCTTTGATTACTACACCCTATCACATTCTTTCGTTACTGCCCTGCACTCCGTCGTTCACGTTCTCTTTTTATCGATTCGTTTGCCGTATCCCTTCGATGTTTCTCCCTTTCCTAACTCACCGTTCAAGTGGCTTTAACTTCGTACACTTTTGTTTCCTAAACTACTTCTTCGTATCTTCAATTCGATGGAGACAATCTTACTTTCGTAAGATTTTGTTTTCATCTACTTTTCCATAAATCAGCTAAACTTTAACCGTTCTGATTTTCTTCGTGTTCATTTAGAATTCCCGCTGACGTAATTAATTCTTACCGTCTCCATCTTGAAATCGACTCGCAATTTTTCTATCCTTCACGATAAATGAAGCAATCCTACATCTAAATATTCTAGATACTATAATACATTTCTTGATGCTACATCTTGAAATATCCCAAGAGCGAACGCACGAGTTTTCAAAAGAAATCGTCGAGCGAAATAAAGGATAAAAAGGTAGTCGATAAAGCGCGAGCGAAAAGAACGAAGTGAAAAATAGAATGTAACAGGTAAAGGGAGTAAGCACGATCAATTCGAATCTAAAATGTAATAAATCTGTCGCGAACTCCGAAGGAAAAAAGAAAATCGATGACACTTGAAATCACAGCAAGCCTAAAAGGAAGTCGAAGTCCCTGACACTTCCTCGCGTGAAATGAATGTTGATCACCAATGTGATCTCGCGCGACCAATCTCCACGCCGTCCACCACCGACACCGCCTTTCGCATGGTCGATCTCGATAATCGAACGCATCGTATCACATCGCGTCGCGTCGCATCGCGGCGATGCATCAGAGGATCGAAATGCGGAACGCAGGACGGAAGCAGAGATTTTCTCGGAATTTCGCATGTTTTCGCTTTCCCGACGTGGCGAATGGAAAAAAAAAGTTGACACTAAAATTTTCGCTTCTCCACCCTTCGACCCTCTCCTCACCTTCTCGATTCCCGATTTCGAATCGGTCTCGAATCGCCAAACCATTCCTCCCTCCATCACGTGATTCTCGTCCGACATTTCTTCGCGTCATTCGTCATTTCCTCGTTCTCGTTTCTATGTTTATCTCAGCCTGTCATGCTATTCCTCTCTCTCTCTCTCTCTCTCTCTCTCTCTCTCTCTCTCTCTCTCTCCTCTCTCCATCTCCACCTTTCTCTATCTTTTCATTTACCCTATCTATTTATCTGTCAATCTCGTTCTCTCTTACTCTTGTACAAATACATATACACATACATATACGTGCTCACATGTACACGTACATACACTCTCTCACTTCGACTCACTTTTCATTACAGGTTTATATTTTAATATTTACGATTATTATTTGCGGTAATGTCTAAACGAACACATATTATATCTCGATAACGTCATTCTTATTTATCATCCCGTACCACACATTTTAACACCCGCCCCCCTTCACCCTCCAACAGATCCACATCAGCTGTATAAGAATATACCAATCCTCCTCTCGCATTCAAAATATCACCCTCTCTCTCTCTCTCTCTCTCTCTCTCTCTTTCTCTCTCTGGCCGAAGAAACTACCTATCTACGGTTTTTCTTTCTTTAATGTTGCTTCATTAAAGTTTAACGACTTATACCCTAATGTGTATGTGTTCTTTTGTGTGCCTATACATCTCCTTTTGTTGGATTCTGCATCTATTCTCTTTTTCTTTCTTCTTTTATCATTCTTTCTCATACATTCATACACATTCATACGCTCACTCTTTCTCTTTCTTTCTTCTTTCATTTCTTCACTCTCTCACTCGCATCGTGTGTAACGTAATTTAATATATAATAATAATTGTGTCGTTATCATTCTATCGTGTATTTTAACATTACTCTTCAATCGTTTCTCTTTATATATATAATATATTTATATATTTATATATTTATATCGTTTACTTCATTATTTAATCTTTATTATTATTTCTCATCATTATCATTATTGTTAACTATATTATTATTTATTATTTATTATTTTATTTTGTTTTATTCTTTATTATTGTATTATTATCATTAGCTCTAGACATTACGTTTCCCCCGTTCTCAGTTATTCTTGTTGTTTTTGTTGTTGATGAAGTTATGGTTCTCCCTTTCCTTCCTCTTTTGCTCTAGTCAGCGGAACCGAAGTCGTCGACGAGACCGGCCCGCCGTTCCTCTATCTGATTCTTGGATCCTTTCGCACTCTGCTACTTCCTCACTATTCTCCTCGCAGTGCTGGTGTTCTTTCTACCCGTGTAATATCCCGGGGACATTCCCTGTGTGATCCTTCGTATACTTCCTCGTATTTCGTCTAACGTTTTCACAACGTCGATTTGTCCTCGATCGAGTTTCGCTTCGATCGAGTCTGGGTGCTTCTCGAGTAATTCTAGCACCGTGAAGACAAGCTCTCGCGGATATCCCGCGATAGAAGAAAACCCGTACGATCCTGCGTATTCAGGAAAGCGAAGTTGACCACCCTATGGCGGGTCCTTCCTGGAGATCGATTTGGCCGAACTTGCGATGTCTACCCTGAGAACCCTGGAGAGATCTCTTCTTCTCCTGCGATGTTGATGTGCTGCCTTGTAAATCACTGTACGTTTTCTCCGAGGGACGAGCTTCGTGTACTGCCCGCCTGTCGAGCCGTACTTTCGCCACCGACGCCACAGCCACCACCAATCGCGGCATCGACACTTTGCCGCAAACTTGAGGAATAGCTCGAGGATAGCGATCGACACGTCGCGCAAGACGGACCGCTGGGACGCGACGCCGAAACGACGAAGGAATTTCCAACGGAAGTGCCGGCTGCTGGATCTCCTCCAGGACCTCCACCACCACCATCCGCGACAACGGCACTTCATCACCGCCCGTCCGGGCATCCCGAGGACGAACAGGAGGCAACATATGGCGGCAAATCGATAGATCCCGGTCGAGCGTGGATCAAAGGAAACGCGAACATCGTTGAAGACCCTCCGCAGGACGAACGTGCCCGAAAAAAGCAGGCCGGAACCGATTAGCCGAAGGAATCCGAAGGGACACTCCAGGACACGGGTATTGTACTGCAGCGCGTTCGCAGGGAGAGTGATCAGAATTGAACAAAGCCAGAAAAATTGAAGGACAATCGATGGGTTCGATCGACCGAGCGAAGATGCGCTCGATATCGAGCCGATGCGGCCGCTACCGCAGAATGCCGTGTCCTTTTGGCCGACGGTGGTCGAAGATGCCGTGGTATTGGACGAGGAAGGAGTGGTGCTGGTGTCCAGATCGTCGGTGGATGTTTCCGGTTGACCCGGCTGCGAGCCCGGATCTACGGTCAGAACAATGTCGACCTTTGGCAACATTTTTTACAATACTGCTTATCATGCTTTAACGTTTAACGTAATTTATGCAGATAGTTCAGCAAAATTATCTTCGGTATCTAGCTAAATTTTTAGGTACTTCAATAAAACTGTTGCAAGTAATTGCATATAAATAACATCAGCTTGCTATAATACTTGGATAATGATTTAATAAACACACAATTCTTTATAGTCGAATTTTTTTGTCTACTCTGTATGTATTTATCCAAAGAGAAATAATCCTCACAAATCTCTCAGGAATCATATTCGCAAACTTAAAAATCCACATGATTTGCGTATTTACAAATAAATACTGTAGTGTAAAAACATTTATAGATGAAAAATGTAAAAATAAAGATTTTTTACCTTTATGAATTTTTTATCCAAATTCTTACAATTTGTCAATTGTTTTAATCGATTGTTGGAATTTTCATCGCGTTTACCTGTAGAACCAGATTGAAGGTTCACTGGGGGCTCGCACTGGGGTGCCGTCGCAGGATCCTGAAACTTGCCATGTTTCCACGGCTCCTCGCATTTGGTGCAGATACCCTCTTTGGTATCCTCGGAGCATACGTGGAAGCAGCACTCATCGTCACTGATGCTGTGCAATGCCCTTGCGGCCTGCTCGCCGGTCTCAGGGATGTTCGGGTCTGAAATCATTGCATTTTCCAACGACCTCGTATGGATGCATGTGACGGTCGTTCTCTTCCCACCCAGAGGAATTTGTCAGGAAAAAGAAGTGGCGGGAGGCACAAATAAAATTCAACAAATCATAGTAATTATTTCTCGATAGTTTCTTTCGGAGGAGAGGAAGGAAAAATGCTTGCGTATTGTGAAATGTTACAGAATAGTATATCAGATTAAAAACATCATAAACGAATTTCAATTCCGTAAACAATTTAGTAAGCAATGATCTCTGCGCGTGCACACACCTATTATTTTCAACGCGATTTTGTCGCACAGAGAAGTCTAGATCTAGTTGATTAAAAGCGGATTAGTTGGCATATAGCTTGACAACTCGCCAGATTTTCTATAAAGGCCAATTATCAATTAATCCAAGATCGATCTTTCCAAGGACAATTCTCGTTTGCAACTAATTGGCAATCGACTTTTACGAAGAATTGCGAATCAACGACGGACGTTGCCAACTTACCTACCATATCCGTCAATTAGAGTTTCTTCTCTCTACACGACAAACATCGCAAATAACAGGATAAATGTCTGATAAATTAAATTTGTTTTCTAATTTATTTTATTCCATGTTTCTCTCCACATATTTTTTATAGATTCCATACCTACGTTTCATCGCATTTAATTCTACTTTTCTTTAATCAAGCGCTAGTTGCCCATATTAATTGTCATCTTAAAATTTCATCTTCGTATATTCTATTATAAATCTGTCGCGTTGCGAAGGTTTACATAAACAAAGAAAAGGAAAAAAGGGAAAAGGAAAAAGATATTTTTACCACTCGTAACAAAAATGCGACAACAAAAAGTGAAGGGTTGGATTGCAGCATTTGGATTGGAATTACATCGCGCAATCTTGGGGTATTGGTAGGCGCGGATGCAAAGGGATGTAAAAAAATGTCCGATAAAGCGTCCAATCTTCCAATAACCGCGCGGCACGCGTCCCATTTAACGCAGTTTATACTCAAACGCGGTGGTGCACCTCCGCCGTTTACGACCTTCGCATCGACGTATGAAAAAAAAAAGAATAACGAGGAGATATTCAACGATTCAGAACATGCTCGTGTGTGTTTGGTTATATTAACCCTTTGCGCTCTGTACGGCAATATAAACCGAAAGTGGAGCACCTCATATAAAATTATACGGTTAATTTTTACGGAGAAAAATGCGAAGTATTAGGAAGTTTTTGCAATACCGTTTATTCAGATATGGTGAACGCTAAGATCAGGTTATCTTCTTAACAACTAATTAAGAAAAGGATAACGTGACTTTTTAACGTTCATCATATCTGGATTCACGTTATTGGAAAAACTCCCTATTCATGGAAAAAATTCTGTTGAAAAATCTTAGCTAGATATAGACTTGAAAATAATTTTGTAGGATTATTAAAATAATTATGTAGAAAGAGAGAGAGAGAGAGAAAGGAAATATTCAAGTATGATGAATAATGCTGCAGAAAGTTTTGATATTCTAGAGTAACTGGTTTGAGCGTCTTACATAATTATTTTGACAGTTCAATAAAATTATTTTCAAATCTATATTAAATTAAATCTTTAAATGCTTCAACCAAATTGTTCTTTCCATATAATTTTAAAACATTTATCTCTTCACAGAAAGAATGGTTACTGAAGTATCTAAAAAATTGGTTAGATACAGATCTGAGAGAGAGAGAAAATAATTTTATTCGATCTTCAAAATAATTATATAGAACGTTTAAGCGTTGATGACAATGTTGCAAAAAGTTTTAATTCTAGCCACCAGTTTTAACGTGCTACATAATTATTTCATTATTTTATGGTCCAAAATTATTTTTAGATCTGTATCTAATTAAATTTTTAAATACTTCAGCGAAACGATTCTTTTCATTATTATTTCATCATTATTTTAATAACTGTTATGTCGTTATTAATCGAGTTAATAAATCTCTTAATAAATACATTTCAAATTTGTCTCTTTCGTCTTGCGATTTTGAATACAATCGTATCGAAATATCCATAGCACCGTAGCGTAAAGAGTCAAGATTACCGGGTCAACGGGACTGACGGTGAAGCGTGTCATGCTGGCAGAATGATAAAATGTCAGATAGTGAGAGACCGGTATCGTGCTATCGGGGACAACACAGTGTGAAAAAAAAATCCGTTCGGAAAATGCAGATACGCGTCAGTTCAACGAATAAAAATTGAAAGAACTCATATGAAAAATTTGTTATAAAAATTACGAGGCGAGCCTGAAATATCATTGATCGTATTACGAGCGTGACGCGTGGTGCAATAAGGTAATAATAATTTACATGAGTACGAAACGTCTCCACCCCCGGCATAAAACGTCCGCATTGTTTCGTGGAGCTTATGCAGGGCGTTCCACCACAGCGACCATTTATGCGTATCTTCATGCAAATTTCTGTGCTGCGGACTTAACGCTACGAACGCCAGATGAACGCCAAATGAACGTTCATCATCGTCGTGAACAAGAGGAAGGACTGATAGTGGCATGATGGATACTGGTTGCCTGTGTCTCGTACCATTCTTCGCAAACTTACGAAGCAAACAGGGTGCCAACTGAACATTTGTACCCTTTTTCGAAATGACTCATTAAACAAACAAACAAAAAAATGAATAAATCGAATGAATATTTCGACTAATTTTGACATTTTTTTGGTGATTATCTTATTTTATGTGATTATTGTATAAGTATCTTGTTTTTCTCTTCTCTCTTTTTTTTACCTCTGCAAAGAAAAGTGGGTTCGCCGGCGTATTGTGTAGGGTATGCGGGGGCACGATCGCCCGGAAGGAAGTAGGGGCAACGTTGCTCCACGGTCTGGCAAAAGGATCGGCAGGGCCTCAATCTGGGGCCGGTCCAGCTGCCCTCCAAGGTATTCACGTTTTTCGGACTCCTGTGAGCAAAGTAAGGCACCAGGGAGCTGCACACCCATTTCCTATACGCCTCCTGCAATTAGAATTATCATGCACCGTTAGAGTTAATCTTTTTCTACAGTATACAATTTAATTATATACAGAGATACGAGAGAGATAATGTATATCTGATCTAACAATGAAATAAAATTAAATTAAACGGCTTAAGATTTAAAGCTTAAACAACGGCTTATTGTAGAAGGTTTATGAAACTTTGTCTAATTACTTCTGTATAATAAAATTAAAGGGACGTTGGAAGTCAATGCGATAAACAATAAGCATTTCTGGTAATAGAAACTCTTTGATAATTAGACGTACACAATTAAAGTCGCAAAAGTTTACATCTCTATGTAATAATAATATAAATTGTTCATAAAAATTGTATATTAGCTTAATTATTATTTTATGTGCAAAAAATGCAGAAACTTGGAGAAAAAGTTCAGTAAAAAAATTTTGTATTTTTCAGTTGAGGCTTTTAATACGAGCTATTATACAATTAACCTTCTCAAGCTATTCAAGATGCAATTAATGCAAGTGAAAGATATATTATGTATATTACAAAGGAATATTATAAAATAAGGAAGCGGAAAATGGATAAACTAACAACTTAAAGAACATTAAGCATTAATTCTCCGAAGCTCTCAATTAATGTATTTTCTTATTAACATGAAGCTTTCCTGCATTTCCTGTCAGAAACATAATTTTTTTGAAAATGCATTTATATGTTGGAACATGTAAATAATTATTAATACAATAATTTCTTTCGGGTATTAATTGTATTTGCTTTAAAATGGATCTATTTGATTTAGTTAGTAAATCTCTGTTATTATTCTTGTAAGACAAAAATATTTTATCTATTTTACAGTCTACATTGTAAAAAATTGCAATTATAGTGGATAATTTTGGGATCCCTTATTAAAGGTGTATGTTTATACACGTAAAGAGAGTCACAACAGACAAAATCTTCTTTATAGTAATTAAATAATCTGCAAAAGTAAATTTACAAAAAAAATTTAAAGTTAAGTTTAAAAAATATTTACGTATTATATTTTCAAACAAATTACGTACAATTTCTCTTAATTTACATTATTAATATGTATAAATATAAAAATGCAAATATAATACATGTGATATAGCATAATTTTACATATTTTTACTGTAAATTATGTAATTTTTATACATATTGTTTATATCATTTTACACAATTTTTTTTATAAGTGTATATTTTATTCGTTTTATACTTTACAAGATTTAAAAAACATTGTGAAAAAATGAATCGCAATGCGATGCCTATAAGTTTTATTGCTACATCATCGATCTAGCAAATTTACATTCACATAATAGACGGTGAAATAAAAAGTGAGCTATATAGAAAATCGAATATGCTTGAAATTCGAATAAAAGCTCGAGAGATGATTCCAATGTTTGAAGTCCCCAAGGAGATCACAGGATAGGTCAGATCCGTTTATAAAACGAAACTTGACGGCGAAAGGGCACCGCGAAAGAAGAAGAAAAAGGCATAGCATCGATGTCGATGTCGATGTCGATCTAGACGTCCGTCAAAATTAGCTACTTCCCGCGGGACAGACTGGTTTTATATGATCATGCCACGTTTTTCGAGAACTATTTGTCAAATATCAAGGATCTTTGAGGTCAGCTGACGAAAAGTCGGAATAGGCAATAAGGCGTGTCGGTGTTTGACCCACATAGCCACCTTCAAATATGAACACCACGATGAAGCGCACATCCTTCCGAGAGCATGCTATAATTACATACCGACTGTGCGGGTCTTTTATCCACCACTAGGTTGTCCCTGGAATCCTTACGTCGCTACAAACACGGCTAAAGTCAGAGTAAATGTACTGAAACGTCCCTCGAAATTTGAGAATGTGAAAAGAAGTGAAGTATTAGCTCTAATCACAAGAATTGATAAATTCCTCGCCCTAAAATCCCATAGTTGTTCTCTAATTTCCAGACAAAATTTCATGACTTTCCTTAATGCTTTCAATATTTCGAAATTTTTTGTATTTTCATCTTGACTTGGAAACTGTCAAATATTTTGTTGAGAGAACAATTTAACATAGCAATATAAATTAACATTATTGACACTGTTTGCATTAAATTGTTAAGTTGAATAATATTCTAAAACTACATGATCGCATATCAAATTTCTTTAAAAGGCAAGAATTTTTATTTTTCAAAAATTTTGCAAAATTCTCTGATTTCTCTGATTTCTACTTTTATGACAACCCATAAGTGTCTAATTCTGTCGCAAGGGAAAGACGGAATTAATAACAGATACATTCTTGCCTTCGGATGAAGGATGACAAAAGTAGTCCCGACGAAAAAATTTCTTTGCATAATACGCGCTGCCTTTCAAAGTTATCCAACTCTGAACTTCTTCTTTTAAACCAACCCTGAGGGAAACATATACAGGTGACATGCTTCTAATGGATCTATCTTGCATACTAGGAAAAGAAAATTTGATCCGCGACGAAATTTGTCGTCTCTCCTCGGCACGAATTTAACTCGCGAGCCTGACATTTATCGAAACCTTTTGATTTTCAATCAACTGTAAGCAATTAATCACCGGATGAATCCTTTGCCGAGCGAGAACGAATCAAATAGCGCATTTCAATTGGCGCAATTAATTTCTCGCCACAGGGAGCCTGAATGTAAATAATAATTAAGAGGTACATGACTCGTTTTCGAAACACCCGATAGACTCCACCTTTTGGCGTGGTCCTTGAACAGAGTTTATTAAATTCGCAATGTAATTTCGCGATCACGACTGGAAAAAGGGGAGTAGATCAAAAGCGACAAGGGTTGAAGCGTCGCCACTTTCCGCTGGGAAAACGTTGCGCACTGGGAATTCCGAAGATAAAAGAGTAGCAGTATTGTAGCAAAAGTATAAGCAAAGCTATAGGACAGGGGGTCGGATTTGTAAATAGGCTAACCGAAGTACAGCTTTCGAGTTTCGTATCCCGAGGGGTCTTGCATCCTCTTAAAAGCGAGCTATAAATAATGCAGATATCTCCAACTTTTTAAATATTTCGCTTCGCTGCTGGATTATGCGCAATTTACTGCATCGCATAATAAATATTATTTGAGATACATTTAAAAGTGACGACATTCAAGCTAATCAAAGCTTAGAGACTCAAGTCCCAAGGGTCCCTACACCATCTCTTAAAAGCTAAGTATAAATAATTCAGATGTCTCCAACTCTTTCATTTCGTTGCTGGATTATATGGAGATTACTTCGTTGGAAATCCATTGAAAGATATTTCTCTTAAAATATATTTAAGGAGTGACAGTATTTAGAGGTCTGCGCTTCCAAAAGTTGCGAGCTTTAAAATCAAATGTTAAAAGCTCAGCTGAGCTGTGCTCTTTTTCTTTAATTCATTAACAAATATTCCTGTTTGTATTCCGAGAAAAATGTCGATCCAATTATGCAATGGCATCATTCGCGCTTGTATTTGACCGAGAAAAATCAATTCAACACGAAAGCCTCAGGCAATCGATATAACAAAGAATATCGATTACCCTCGAGAGATATTCAACGAGATATGGATATTGACCTTATCGAGTATCACACGTATGTACGATGCATCATCGAAATACGCAATTTCTTTGAGTGGAGCACACTGAACGAGTAACGAATTCCTGACGCGCTGTACTATTGGAACGAAAATATTCTATAACGAGCAATATGCAAGAAATACTGCATCTCACGCGATCTTATAGTTGTTGAACGTCCTTTTTAATGTTTTGTCAAAGTTAAATTATAAGCAATACAATTAAACAAAAAAGACCATAAATGTACAATTTCCAGTTCAAGCAAATTGTAAAATTGCTTGAAAATGTACAATTCACACAAAAATATTAGAAATATCTAATACAAGTTAAATAACATAAATTAATCAAACTAGTCAAACGCCGATACTCTTCAGAGAAGCCAAATAAGACTCGAGAAGAAATATTTTTCGTGATATAACGAAAATTCATTTCCGACCTTTCTGTCGAGTCGCTCCAATTCGCCATAATGGCGATGTCGACGAGGAGCAAGGGGAAAGGCTTGGTAGGAAAGCATGAGAAATAACCGGGACAACAAATGCAGAAATGCAAACGACGACACAGAGGAGGTGAGGGGAGAAAATGGCGACAATATTATTCGATGATTACTGAAATTATAATGAAAATTTCAGTTCACGGAAATGCATTAATACTCTCTAAAATCGCCTATACGAAAATGTACAATAAAAAAAGTATTTTACACTTGTGTTAAAATCTCGTCAAAATTTTTGAATTTTTAACATATCTGAATATTAATTTAACATAACTTGATTGTGTTATTTACATGTTTTAAATTGATATTTAAGATTTTTTAAACATTGTTGAAATAACACAATTTGCGAATAAATGAATGAAATAACATAAAAATGATAGTAGTTTTTAAGATGTAATTCTAGAATAAATAAGTAAAAAATAAATACACGTATTAATTTCACATATTATAAATGTTAATTTTGCTGAAGAAATATATTTTCACAATTTATTCCCAAATTGTGTCAAAGCGTTACATACTTATGTTAATTTTGTTTTCTATACAATTTTGTATTAATATTTTACATATTCATTTTGTGTTAAATTAAAGATTTGGATAATTGTTTAGGACACATAAAATGTGTTAAATTCATCACAAATTTTCCAATTATGTAGTTTAAAAATTAAAAAGTAATCATTAATGATCAGTAAATCGCTCAGAAATTCTTTTATATTTTAGTAGATCGTATATTTTAATAGATTTTTCAGTAGATCGCTTCTTTTATATTTTATAATACAATAATATTTTTCTATAAATTGTCAGTCAGTTTAAAAATAAATTTAAATATAAATTACAATAATTTTTTACACATAAAACATAGAATAATTTTTCTTTTTTCAAATGACAATAAAATATATTTATTTAATTTTCACTCAATTAAGATTAGTTCTCGCATGACACAAACTGAGACTGCGGTTGCATTAGCATAC